TTGTATTCTCAGCCTCCGATTTCAGTAATCGCAATCAGTATGTATTCCGAAATAACTACTATCTGTTATTTAAATTGAAGTATATTTGTAAACAGTCTGTACATAACTATAACAGGTGGCAGTTTTACTTCACTTATATATGTTGGTGTGTACGTAAGTTGCAGATACCTTCCAAATTGAGGTTTGTAAATATATTTTGTAAAAATAGTACCTCTTTGAAGACGATATTCTTTGCTTTGAATTGTGGAATTTTCAGCTTCGCCCAGTATTCTGATCAGACGTTTTGTATATTTAACATGGGGAATCGTCCAGCAAACCACTAATGATACAGTTGCGAACAAATCCCAAGTTGATGGACTAGTTACAACCACAGCTACCTAAACAAGTGAGATGGCTGAAATAGCTATACACATTGGGCGGTACGTGTTCTGAAGACATATGGTGTAGGTGTTGTCAACCTCCGATGAACAGATATAAAGTCAGGGTCAATATAATGCATAAATCAATACTTATTTCTTGCCTTTGGTGTTAGCATATGTCGACTAACTTTTCTTGATCAATGAGTGCGATATAAAACATTATAAATTTCGTAAAAATGGATGACATAATAATGAATAAAAGACTATCCGATTTTTTAATGAAGGATAAGCATACAGGTGCTTTAAAAGATCCCCCATTGGTAAAAAAAGGTTGAATAGTAAGGGGAGATATATGACTATGACTAAAGCTAACAGCTTTTTTCTCGACCGGCTGCATAAGTTAGTCAGATAGTTATCCATAGCCGACGTAAAATCGTACATATGTGGAATATTTTAATTTGTAATACCACATAAGCACAGGGTAATAAAACTATTTCAAATAAGCCTAAGATTAGTAAGAGTAACAGTATGATTAGCAGTAACAAAGAGAATCAGGTAAAAGTATCAGGAAATTTCAGGACACAGGTTCTAAAGGAAAACCAAAATCGGAGCCTTCATAAGTTGATACCATGTTTTGGCTTAATCACTCTTATATTTCAATCTTTTTCTACACGAGACATCACACGTAGAGGTGTTCAGTGGCTTGGGATAACCAACACATAGCCAAGCCACCTCATTTGGTGGATATCCACCATCTTATCAATTGACCTGCCAACTCTACTTTGTACCTTGTGTCCAAATTCAGAATTGCTGACTCGATATTCCCAACATATATTCTCAATGGTTTCACGACACCTTTAATCGAATACAAGTAGTTTAAGAAAATTCTCTATTTCGGAGTGCTACATTTCACGCCCACAATTTAAAATCCATCGAATTGCTTTGGAATATGCCCATTCTTCTAAGATTGCTGCCGGTCCCAAACTGGGATGAGGAAGGAGGGTTGGACATGAAGTGGGGTCGGAGACCTAATACCATGGAAATGATCTTTGCTCGAAATACGCTAACCAGAACAAACAAATTAAGCCACTTAAACTCTGTCTTGCAACTTGGAGGATCTTCTTGCAGAAGAATTATGACGACTCATGGTGATAGCCGAAATCTTTTGAAAGTCACGAGGCTGATGCCTCTGCTAAAAACCAGGACAACAACTAATATAGTTAAGTGGAATGTCAAGAAAATGGGAGAGACTTGAAGGATCAACCAGATAACTGCGGAAACGAGGAAATACAACTTGGCGGTCCCCGGAATAAGGGAAACCCAGTGAACCCAAGCTCTACAGAAAACGTTAGGTATAAGAGAGATGCTGCTGTACTTTGATCATGAAGAAGAAATACTTCGCACACTCATGGAGTTGCTCTGATGCTGTCCAAAGAAGCACATAACGCACTTAGAGGATAAGATTCTCACGGATCTAGGATCATCAAAGCATCCTTCAAAACAAAGAAGTAGGGAATCACGATGAATGTTATCCAATGTTTTGCACCTCCTAATGACAGCAACGACGACAGAGATCGATTTTATGAGAGGCTTCAGTCGATCGTAGAGAAACGATCTGACCATGATGATGGGTGATCTAAAGGCCAAAATCGGAATGGACAACCCTAGACATAAAGATATCACGGGACGACATAGACTGTAAGGAAGGAACGAGGATGAAGACAGATTTGCACATTTATGTGCATTCCACAAAATGGTTATAAGCGGCACAATTTTCTTTCACAAACGCATAAACAAAGCCAAACGGGTATCACCGGACCACATTACACAGAACTAGACCAATCATATTTGCACCTTTAAGAAATTCCGAAGGACAATGGAAAACGTGAGAACCAGGAGAGGAGCTTACATAGCTTAAGATCATCCTTGGGTTGTCTTCAAGATGAAACTGAAGCTAAAGAAACACTGAACAACTGGACAAACAGTATTACAAAGGTCCCTATGACATGCTGACAAACTCAAAGGAATCAAGATAACTCTGGAAAACAGCTTACAAGCCTTACAAAATCTACTAAAACACTATGATAGAGGACAACTGCAAAGAGATCAAAGAAGCACTAACTTCAACGTGTCACAAGTTGCTGGGACACAAAAAGCAACATCATAAGGAATGGATCCGCATAAGATTCAAGAAAGGAAGATCAAAAAGACAGTAATTAACAGCAACCAAACAAGAACATAGAAGGTCAAAGCACAAACTGAATACACAGAAGAAAAACAAGCAAGTGAAGAAGAGCATTAGAGCTGACAACCAGAAATACCCAGAAAATCCAGCAACGACAGCAGAATAATCTGCAAGAGAAGGGAAATTGAGACAATTAGATGACAAGTCAAAGAAACTGTCAGAGATACGTAGTAAACCAGAAAAACCGATCAAGGATAAAGAAGGCCAGATAATCACTGAGATTCAGGAACAAAGGAACAGGTCGGTGAAACACTTTGAGGAACTCTTGAATAGGCCAGCTCCATTGAATCCACCAAACATCGAAGCAGCACCTGCAAACCATCCTATACCTGTCATTCCACCAACGATCGAAGAAACCAAAATGACCACTAGATAAATCAAAAGTGAGAAAGCAGCAAGAAATGATAATATACCAGATAAAGGACTAAAGTCAGATATAGAAGTAATTCTTAAGCTGCTTCACATTCTATTCAGGAAGATTTGGGAGCGAGGGCAAGTGCCGATGGACTGGAATGAAGGACACCTAACCAAGATACCAAAGGAAGGAAATCTGAGCAAGTGTAAGAACTCAGCTATGGAAGCATCACAAATCTATCAGTACCAGGAAAAGTTTCTAACAGAGTGTTGATGAATCAGATGAAAGATTCAGTGGACGCTCAACTTCGAGATCAACAAACCGGATTCTGTGAGGATCGTTCGTGCACAGACCGAATCGCGACACTAAAGATCATCGTTCAATAATCAGTTGAATGGGACTGGTTACCATAGATCAAATTCTTTGACTATGAAAAGACATTTGACAGTGTGAATAGGAGGATCCTATGAAAAATTCTTCGGCACTATGGAGTACCTCAAAAAGACTTCAACATCATCTGCGATTCATATGACGGACTACACTGCAAAGTGGTGCACGGAGCTCAGCTGAAAAATGCGTTTCAAGTGAGTACCGGAGGCAGATAAGGAAGCTTACTCTCCTCGTTCCTCTTTTTTCTGGTGGTCTACTGGATAACAAAGACGTCGATATCGGAAGAGAAGTACGGAATAAAATGGACAACAACAGCCTACTGTAGGAGAGAATAATCCAGCTTCGAGCTGAATAGGAAATTAGGAAAAGACGTTAAAAGTGAACAGGCCATACATTTCAAATATCACCACACTGCATCAAAAGACAAGCAATAATTTCGAACCTTGAAGGGAAGCGAAAACGAGTAAGATCAAAGAACACATTGCGTTGGGGACTGGTATTAGACATGAAAGGAATGAATAACAACTAGAAAGAACTGGAAAGGATTGTCCAGGACGGGGTTAGTGAAGGATGGTGGGTGGTCTATAATCCTCAATGAGGGGTGATAGGCTCAAGTGAGTAAGTTGGCTAGTCAAGAATACTTTCAAATCAATGCAGATGTTCTGCGAAAATACAAACATATCAAGTACGATGAGATACATAAGATATGTTGTCAGTCAGTCAGTCAGCTACAGCGTAGGACCAGGCACATATATGCATCGGTCCAAGTTGCCATAACTCATTAACACAACAAGATGAACACTGGATTCATAAAGTGGTTAATTCAGTTGGGGTAATATATAAAAGAAAGATTGCAATAAGGATATAGTACAGGAAGAAAGAATTAGTTAGTAGAAAGATATGAGGTGATTTTATTCTCACAGTTTAAGGGAAAACAGAGAGTGTATACACCGACGCCATTGTGACCGATTCTGAGCCATGTCACCCACAGTCTCCAACCATTGGTTACGGTAGTCACGCGGACCCCAACCAAACTTTCTGGCATTGTTGCCTATTACTACTAAAAGACTCTGCATTTTATCAGCGTCTTCTCCAAACAGGACTATGTTATCTGCGTATTCTAAGTCGATAAGTGGACCTCCTGAAACGCAAACTTAGTTCTTTCAGTACTTGTACTCAATTTGAGCAACGACTTCCTACAATCTCGAACCGATATTTTGTTCTTCTATGGAGGTAACGATATCCCAATGATACTTGCGTTATGGCTGACAGCAGTTCGATTACTTCTACGTCCTTACATTGCGCAAGTACCTCACTCCCTCAAAACGGAATTTACTCAATTTACCCCGTGAAGCAGTACTAGCTAGACCACCATTGCAAACAAGGCAGCACCGAATGATTGTTTCTTTCATGCGAAGGAATACTCAGAATGATGTACCCACGATCCTATCGAACATCGAACCGAGAAATTTCGAGCTGATCTGAAAAATTCCAACTTCTAGACCAGTGTTTCAGTCAAAAATTTTGTATAGTTCACAATCAGCTTTTCATTGAAGTCACTATTAAGATTGTAGCAACGGCTCTTTTGCGACTACAAAAAACGTAAGAAATTACCCGTCGAGAGTTGTTTTATCTTATAGTATTGGATATTGTAATGTTTGCAAGGTCATGTTAGTTTGGCCGCTGCTCTCAAGGTTTGTTTTCGTTATTCTTAGAACATTTTCCGTAATCAGTGCGTTTATTCAAGTTTGTTTGGCATTTCATTCTTCCAATGAACCACATTTATAATTTTTCGTACCAGTGCCCCGTAGGCATGCGTATTCGGAGTTAGCTGACGCCAGTGTGACAAATATACTTTAACGTACGAATCTCATATGTAATCCGGACCTTTAGAGACGAGGACTTTTTGAAACTTGCAATCGTAGTGCTTCTTCCGATTCGAAGGCTGTCATAATCCGAGGCTTGTATCATTTCTAATTTTCGTTTATTTGTTTCCTCAATAAAATCAAGTGCATCGTATACGCTTACTAGGTTGTTGACTCACCTTTTCTAGTACTCCTGTTTTTCTCAGTCTTCTTCTCCCAAGTTACTACACATGCTCCCCTAGTACAAGAATTACCTTTCGTCTAGTCACGGACCGTTACATAGGTGGTGCATTTGTCATAGTGCAATAAGCCATTGTCAGTGACACGTAGCTGGCTGTATGGCAGTTACCCATGATCATTAATTTTTCGCTACACTACAGCATACTAAGTGTGTATGGTATGATGAAGTTGTTGAAATGATGTTCATGGTAAGTTTCACACTGGTTTCTTTAGCGATCATGAGTGTTCTGAGGTTGGCTATAGGCTATGATACTTTCTGGTAATACATCTTTTCCGATCAAGAAAGTAATATTTTGATTTAAGAGGCAAAATTTAATTTTACAATCACTACAGTTTCTGTTTTGTCATGCCAAAGTATGTCCTTGATATCTGGAAGAACAGATGGATCACGGATCACAGATACTAACTTAACAATTCCATTTCTTCAAAACACTTAGGATATATTAAGTTTAACATCATTTGGAAATTCGCAACAACATCTGTTGGTCTTATCTTTGTCATTTCAAATTCTCATCATTAAGACAGTACATAGGCGCTGAGCAATATCCCAGTCTACGATAGTTAAAAGTTGATAGTTAGAACTTATAGATAGTGATTTTTCATCATAGTTTGTTTGAAACTAAATTTCGTCTGATGCTTAGTTATGCATCCACATTTCGGCGGTGCAAATTATACGAGATTTTTCCCAGTACAGAAAAATACATTTGTGGTAATAAGTTTTGGTTTCTAAATATTTAACTAATGGACATGGTGGATCTCGATAGTTTTTTATATAAATTTGTTATAATGATTGCCAAGTTTTATATTACGTACTAATTTTGAAAAAAAGCTAGTTTTTATACGATAATGATAATACTTGTAAACTGTATGATACTGTTTGGACGACTTAAAAACCCAATGATCAACTGAAATGAACCTAAAAAATTGAAAGTTGACTGTATTCTTGGTGACTGTTCAGACAAGTACAAAAATGACCAAGCTGATAAGTATTGTTTGTTTTAGAAGTTTTTGTACATTAAATTAACTGTTAACATCTCATTTAATTGATCAATCCTAATTGTTGATATTGTATATATTTTTATGAGTGTCAAGAAGTTCACTGAAAAAAGTGATCTAGTGACTAAATCACTCAAATTTTATCCAGTATTTTGAATCTTGAAAACTATGCCTAACCAACTTCTGTCTATACTGACGGATAAAATTATTACTAAGCTTTACACGTAAATAGTATGTTTCAAACCATGTATTTGTTAAATGACATATTATTATTGTTATTTAAGTGAGTTGTCAATTCTCATTGCTTTTTTCGTTGTGTTCCTTCCAGGGTTTTGTTTGTTTGTTTATCTACCTGGATGCAACGTTAACACATAGTTTTTTGTTCGTACGCAATAAACAAAAACGGATTACAATGATTACATTCTTTTCTAATATCCCAATATTTAAAGATGAAAAAAATCTTGATATACAAACATTTCTACAATTATCCAAAATGATTTGTGATTTTTTCGGTAAGTACTCATGTTATACTTTGTGTTGTTGATTGTAAATCAATATTTTTGTCGATCAGGTTTATGTGATTCAAAATTTTCATTATTACGAAATGATGTGGAAGGGAATATTAAAGTAAGTTTTGAAAAATCATTAATTTCACTACATACATTGTTTTTATTTCATGATGGATTTAAGTTTTTATTAATACCAAGAAACAATTCATATTGCTGTTGTGTCTGTAACATAATTAACTGACGTTTATTTGGTACTAAAGACTCCAACTCTGAAGACGCGTAGTTAACTTACAAAGAATACTGATATGGATTTATTTGACCGGAAAACAAGTCCAAATGATGCATTAATATATGACCTTTTATTTGATTTACTTACACCCAGCTCAGTAGTCAAATTTTATTAGTTTGAACTGAGTAACATTTAACATAAATTATTTGATAATTAACTATGTGAACACATAGTTACTATATCGTACAACTAAGCATCTATAATTAACTGACTAAGTTATACAATTACCTCTTCTCACGATGTAACTATATGCCAAAGACGGTTGGGAAAAATCAGTTTCTTATATCGTTTGTACTCAAAACGATTTAAGTCACTACTCAATGTCTCACTTTACTCTCTTAACAATAGTCCCAACTTCTGGAACTCAACTGATAGCGTTGAGTGGATGCACAGCACTTAATACTACAGAGATCTATAATTAGATTATTTATTTTTATTCCATTCAATAAATAAACTTATTTAAGTTAAAACTGTATATCAGTCATTTTAACATTAACAAATTTATATTGTTTTACAAGCAGCCTTAAATTTACATTATTTATCTGCCTTGAACTTGGCCATTCTTTTGGATTATTGATTTAGATATATAACTGTATAGCCTGATTAAGAACTACTGAAAAAAATATTCTTCATTCATGTATCTATGACTATACAACCTTATGAGAATTAATATCAACCACAAATTGAGACAATCAATTCATCCCATTTTATGGGTTGAAAAATACTACTGCTAATGTAGTAACACACAGAGTCATTTTGAAAATAAGTTGCATCAGTTGCTAGAAATATCGCATTGGACAAAGTAGGCACTTCTTTTACATTCACATTCCATAGCAGTGTGACAATATAATATGATATCACTCTTATTAATGCATATAAATATGATATTGATTGGAAAAACGTTGAAATTTTGGATTAAGACGATTATGTAAATGCCAAGGCGATGTTTGAAGCATGACATTCAGATCAATTAGCATTCAGTAAAAAGCAATCGAAATACATTCAATCAATCTACTAGCACAGAATAATTCAGTCAATCACGTGATAGAAGGTCAGGTAAACTAAGCAGTAAACATGAATCCAATGACAAATGAAAAAAGCAACCAGTCAATAACGCGGCCACCAGAATGAATTACCGTGGTTTATATAGAATAGTTGAAGGGCTCACTTCTGCATAAATGAATGTTAATGATGATTATTGCTGTAACAACAATGAAAGCTTCTCAAATGAACTATGCAATTTTGAGCAAACAAGATCATTAAAAGCACAAAGGTATCTTATACTCATCGCGATACTTGAAGTTTATGGGTTGGATCCCCTGTATTATTACAAGAAAGAGGAGCTGCGGAAGAGATATAAATTAGAATACAAAATCTGTTCAACACTTCCTTGTTTGTGGATAAAATAAATACATTGTCTCGTGTTTAAAATTGATAAGTCTTACTACCGATACGCCTAAATAACGAAAAGAATGTACATTATTCAGTTGTTCATTCACTGAAGTGCTAACATCTAACTGGCGATTCCTCAATATTTATCGCCAGGACCGACCAAGAAGAAAGAAACGGAAACTTGTTGAAATACTTTGCGCTGAGAATTCTATATTGTACCAAAATTATAATATTGAATAAAGCTAATAATAATAATAATAATAATAAATGGTTTACCTAGCCGGTTACAGCCTTAACTTTGTCACGACAACTTGAACATAAGAGAAAAAATACAAAATGCATAACCAAATACTGGTGACAAGGATTTATTTGACTTTCGAAATAAATCAAAAGAATCTATGGACATAATAGTTTTTATATAAGTATTCCACAGTTATATTAACAGTCAGATTTGTCTGGATTGAACCGAGTCGTGTTTAACAATAAGGATTCTAAAATATGCTGTGTGAGCACACATTACCATATTATACAGTTATACATCTATAATCCTCCTCAAGATGTAAACACATGTTGTAAACGATTCACACTCCAACTGATCAAACTATCACTTGCCCTAGCAAAACGAAACAGTAGAAAAAGGCTTCAAGTAATTTTTAGATCCATATATCAGAGCGAAATATATGAATGTGTAGATTATAACTTACGAATACTTTTTGTAAGAATTCTTATTCTAGTAATACTTATTATGTTGCGTATTGTTGGAATTCATCATATGTTGTCTGTTGAATACATAGGAAAACTTAGGTCAGCAATATTTTATTCTACAAATTTAGAGTATGTAAGTTTTGTTTCTTGTCAAAGTACTCCCTAAATGTGACAATACACTTGTCTTGTTTCTATTGACAATATCTAAAATGTTTCTGGGTATGTCTTCAGCTATCTTGTCATTTCACCACTTAGTACAAAAGCAAAAATAAATCGCTAGAGGTTTGTTAATATTATTATTGGTAGGGAGACTGAGATAGCTTGATGATGAATTTACAAGCTGGAATCTTGCAAAACGTTACAGCTGAATACGCAGAAATATGGCCGCTTGTTTGTTCAATAGGTCATGCAACTATGAACAAATTACAAATCCTACTAATTAATAGCTTACTAAAGGTAGATGATGAAAGTTAGATTGACTCAAGATGGTTAGCGTTTGGGTAAATACAAATGGTTAACTACTTATTTATGTTCGTAGCTAACAATCTTGGTAGCTCGATTCTTATTTGTATTGGGTAGATTATGTGAAATAATCTTTGGGTTAAACATGCTTTTAGAAATGTTATGTAATTTTTATAGATTAAATCACTGACTGATCTCAGTTACACTACTGAAACTTTGGAGTTAATTAAGGATCGTTTCATCCTAGAATGTAACTCCGAGAAGGTGCGCATCCAGGGACTCAAATCCGGCAGCCAAACACAACACCTTCAGTTCAGTGTGTAAATCTTTAAACTTTAAATCACTAGCAGGCACCCAAAGGCTTTAATGTCCAGTTTCAATAAATTCAAAACATGTAATTGTCACCCTTCAGTATTATAAACAAATCTAATGTAATAGAGTTTAAGCGTTCGCGCGCGAGACCGACTTGCCCTGGGTTCGAGTCTCGCGAGGCAGACCTGTGAGGAGTTCCATACTAGGACAAGGTTCCAAACACATAATATCTTTGAGCATTGTACTTGAACCGTATTGTGGATTTTGTAAAGTTTTATATGACGAAGTCATCAGGTCTCTAAAGTCAATAATATCGAGAGTTAAATAATGAATGATAATCTAGCTGTAATACGCATATACAAACTGTTTTGGGATTGTACTCTTTTGTACAATTTGATAGTTTACCCTACACATTACTATAATATCAAAATTTCATTTTCATCTAAGATACTGGGTGTACATTGTAGAGAAGTCCCAAAACAAGATGATGAATATTTATTGACTCTCTTCACAATTGATTGATCACTGAGTGGTGATCAATGTCATGCGTGTCTAGTCCTTATTTAGTGCAAATCAAATGCTATCAACCATGTTGCAATGTGGCCACCAGTCTAGGTGACTCGACATTGCGGGCACTATATATTGAGATTGAATAGCTCAATGGTAACGTCTCTCACTATGAAGCTGGGTGACACGAGATCGAATCCGTCAGGGAGCATCAGTTCCCTCAAGATTACAGGTACACCTTGCTGACGAGTGCCAAGTAGCACAAAACCCGGGTCCAGGGTTTCCTGTCGACTACCTCCAAACACCATTGACTCTCTTCAGTAACCAATACTTTTATCTTTCAAACTACTATTCACATATCCCGTTTTCATGTGTATTTTTTCTCTCTCTCTGTATATTCTATTGTATAGAAAGTATCACGTGCATCTACCAATCTCCATGTGAATACGTTATATGACTTATTAGCTAATGAAATAAATCGTGATGATTCTTCCGGATCAATTGGTTTATTATGGTTAAAGCGTACATTTCAATTTCTTATTTGTTTCCTGCATTATTTTGCTCAATCTAAGAATAATGAATTAATACGTGATATGATTATAAGAGCTTATGATAAAACATTGACAAGATATCATAACAAATTAATGCGTCATGCATTTCGTGTGAGTATTATTTGTAGTTTGATGTATGTTTGTTTGTTTCCAAAGAAATAACCTCATGGTGTTTGTGCTGTAAATCGAAATCAAACCAGCTCAGTGGTCTAATGGTTAAGCGCCCGCGCACGAGACTGATGAGTCTTAGGTTCGAATCTCGCGGGGGGGGAGATCGCGGATGTGCACTGCTGAGGAGTCTCATACTAGGACGAAACGGCCGTCCAGTACTCCCAGGTTTTCCATGTTGATCTAGCTTCAATTGACTCATGATTTCAACTATTAATCCTTAGATAACAAAAAAACCCACTGGAAACAACTGATCATAAAAAAAATTAACGAAGTAGCAAGATTCGACCTGCGGGTCTCTTCGTGGTGATGCCGGATAATGGAGATAACCTCACTAGCTAGCTTAGAGGATCAACACAGATCGGACAAATCTACCAATCTTCTGTATCTTGGATAACTTGATGGTCTAACTTCCAGGTACTAAAATCGCAAAAGGCCGTTTTGTGCATGACTGTATGCATGAGTCTCAGTTTCAATAATTTATGTGTATAAGTATGTACATAGGTTACGCAACGGGCTTCCCTGAAAGGTCTAAGAAAAAAATAAGAAGAAGGGAGAGGTGAACAGTTATCCTCTCTTAAAACTGCTTACACTCGTGTGCATACGATGAAGCTCATAACTTCGTTCATTACAAAATCATTGATTGTAAGAGTGAGGTAAGGGCTTCGTGTTTGAAATCCACAAGTGTACTAATATCAATGAATACATCACTAAATACCAGAAGGTACTAGGTAAGATGTAAGAAATCCTTCCATAGTAGTTAACTACTATTCCTTATGATGTCGAATCTAGGATCTTAAGGTCATGGATGCGATTGATGGGTTTAGTCAGTCAATTGTGATGGTCTAACATTAATCGGTTCATGATCTCAATCAAAAACTTAATAATCTCCACAACCCCTATAATAGTAATTAACATGTGCTCACTAGTGACTAGCTTCGTGAGGGAATTCTCGGAGTTCTAGTGAGAAGCCGTGATCAGTGGAGCTAATCCTTGTCGGGTAGAGACAGGTATCTACCTCAGTACAATGGAAGTTGGTCGCGCAATTTCGTGGATTGGTTGATGTTAGAAACTATCACCATTGGATGCCGGCTCAGTGGTCCAGTTGGTTAAGCGTTCGCGCGCGAGACCAAAGGCCCTGGGTTCGAATCCCGCTCGCGGGATCGTGGATGCGCACTGCTGAGGAGTCCCACAATAGGACGAAACGGCCGTCCAGTGCTTCCAGGTTTTCAATTGTGATGGTCTAACATTAATCGGTTCATGATCTCAATCAAAAACTTAATAATCTCCACAACCCCTATAATAGCAAAACTTAATGGCTTACAATTTTCAGCTCTGATCAATACATGATGTAATATAATTCAATTTCATCATAATTGATTAGTTACTATCTCATTTCTAACATGACCTACTTGACTGGTCATATTTTCTACACTAGAATTTCTATGAAGTCTAGTATTAAGTGTGTTAGCGTTTAGCGTTTTTTTTAGCGAGTTAGTTTTCTATGGGATAGGGTCTCTAACCCTATGCCCAACCCTCCTCCTTTACCCGGGCTTGGGACCGGCAGTAACTCTAGAAGAGCTACAGGTGGAGTTAGTATTATGTACACAATTACTAATTACAGTATTTTATTCATTTTTCCCCTTTTCTTTTTGATATCAAATTAATTTTTCTAGTTTGTTTTACTTATTGTCCCTAAACGATCGGTGTTTATTAGAAAATTAGGATTGGAACAGGATAATTGTGAATTGTTGGTAAGTTAATTCTTTATTTACTAAAGTGAACATACATTGTTATCATTTAGATTACATTGAAATCAATAATTCCATAACCTCAACTTCTGTATATCCCATTACTTAGTTACTTACTTATGCCTGTTACTCTCAATGGAACATAGGCCACCAACCAGTATTCTCCAACCCACTCTGCGCTGGGCGTTCTTTTCTAGTTCTATCCAATTGTTGTTCATTCTTCTCATGGTTGTCTCCAATTCTCGTCGTATTCTGTTCTTTGATCTTCCTCTTTTCCTTTGATTTTGAGGATTTCAAGCGAAAGCATGCCTTTTGATACAGTTCGGTGCTTTCCTCAATATATGTTCTATTTTCATCCAGCGCTTTCTTCTGATTCCTACCTCCGTTGGGATTTGGTTTGTTCTCTCCCATCGTGTATCCCATAGCGTATAGAAAATTTTCTCGTTCACAAACTATCAATGAGGGTCTTAAAAAATAAAGTCAACCAAGAGTTACCTTGTATTATTCTGTCTTATATAAACTCCTGTGACCTACATAAAGGGTACTACCCCTAGCTCAGGGTCTGAAAAGTTGAAAGAATGAAAATGTCGCCAATGCCATAAAAATGATCTTGGTGGTCTAACAGTAGTATTCCGACACCAGACAATGGGTTTTAAGCGTTATTTAAGCCCTAACGCTTCAGGCTGGGCTATTTCTTTTACTACCCTACATATGTGTTGTATGCAGTATGAGCTATATGGCTATGTGGAAGGTCTCATATGAGGCTGGATGTTCGCCATTGGTATTGTGGATGGTTCGGCATTACCTTGGCAAGTTCTGCTGACTGTTCATGCATAAAATTGGTTTACTGGCTAATCGATTCCATTCATACTGGTGGTTGCTTTCCAGTGTTCTTAAGGACCATTGTAATTAGGACATTGTAAGGCATGTCGACATTGCTAACATCAATGAGTTTGACTATCGTGTAAGCGGAATAGGTCAACTTTGGCCTGTTTGTGGTGGGTATAATTGATTCACGCGATCATTGGTTAGAATAACTATACATGTGATATGAATGTGTATATGAATGGTGTGAATGGTCCATCAGGGTGCTTGGTACCTGTGTGGTTGCACCACAGGATTGAGCTGTACTATTCAGATTGTAGCGTTAAAGCCTATACGGTATCTGATTCTCCTGTGAATCAGGATTGAGTTGTACTGTTTGGGTTGTCACGTGAAAGTCTGAATGGTGTCTGGTTTTCCTGAAAACTAATGTAGAATTACCCTGGCCCACAATAGTATCTTATAACTATGACCTATATAAAACTATGTTCACCATATATAAGAAATCTCAATTTGTACAATAATGAATAACAGGTATACAATGAATAAACTACAAAGGATTGTTGAAGACAGAGTTCGATAAAGAATTCTGATAGGTGACCTATCCTTCTCTACATAGGGTAACAGGCGTAAGTAAATAAATAATATATAAACAATACAAATATGGAAATAGTTAATAATTTAAAACATGAAATACATTACAGAAATCTCTTTACAAAGAATTCATTTCAACAGTTGAGATCATAAGTCAGTTGAAGCTAGACCACCATGGAAAACTTGGAATTACTGAACAGCCGTTTCGTTCTACTGTGGAACTCCTCAGCAGTGCCCATCCACGACCCCGCCTCACGAGATTCGAACCCTGGGCCTATCGGAATTCCTTATTTATTCCATATGATGATGTGATAGAGACATTACGATACTAGATTACATAGTATTAATAACAACAATACTAAAATGGTGTATGTATGTGGATTTATATGAATAAAATATAGATGCTTTTATCAATCTATGAAATAAAGCTCAAACTGTATGTATAAAAGAAGATTAGATAGATTAAGGTTATATGAACTGGAAATCGATTTTTTCACTTAACTGTGTTATAATCCCATGTCCTTAAATACCACTGTAAACTTGTTGATTTGAATATGTTTTCTATGATCAATTATCAATAACTTATGTTATTGATAAGTACAGATGGATAGTGGTTAGTAGTGGAATCTAATGATGTACGTTTCATCCTAGTTGGGACTCGTCAGCTAGATGTACTATACATCTCATAGATATAGTTCACTTCAAAACTCGAACCGATTATCGTTTATTTCAAACGTTACCACGTTATCCATTTAGCTACTGAGTCCTGGTAACCACTTGGTTGTGCAATGGGATAAATTTTCAATTCACTTGATATTGTTTACTTGGATCTTCTCATTGATATTTAAGACTGCAGATTGCCTCGATATAACCTTAAGTCAAAAGCTTTTTTAAGCAAAGATGAATAGTGGCTAGCAGTGTTCATAGTAGTGATCAAATTATATCAATGAAGTAACAACATGTGACTACTAGGCCAAGTGACCTGACACCGTAGTGTATTATGTCATATGTTAGGTTATTGGAGATGATTGAGAGAATGCTCTTGAAACTAGATTTCATGCTTGTTGGTGACATTTATCAAAAAGCATAACCTGACATTGTTTATCACTCACTCCACTGGTTACTGCATACCACTAGAACTCCAACAAATACCTCTTGAAGTCAGTCACTAGTGAGTATCATCAAAAGGGTTTTGTGGATATTATAGTAATTTTAATAGTTGAGATTATGAGCCAATTGAAGCTAGATCACCATGGAAAAACCTGGAAACACTGGATGGCTATTTCATCCTACTGTAGGATTCCTCAGCAGTGCACATCCACGATTCCACCTCGCGAGACTCGAACGAAATTGAGTGACACATACACTGTGGTGTGTGCTACTTATATTGACCTGAGTAGTATATGATGTTAGTCGTAAACAGAAGGTCTGGGAGCTATATAAAAGTGGAAAGTAAGATGGAAGTCAAGTTGTTGGTGATAAGTCGTTTAATTGAACTTTAGATTCGATTCCTAAGCTATTCTAGTAATCTACCCCCCCCCTTTTTTATGGCTAAATCTATACAGCGACTTAAACACGAGATAAAAGGAGACGAAACATGAAGGAAACGCTTTACTCCGAATGTTCGTATATGTACGGAAAATCTACGGTATTCATAGTATTTTAGATGGCCTTGATTCTCTGGAAATCTCTGGAACGCTACTTAACATTTTAACAGTACAGGTAATCATCCAATGAGAAACGCGAGATGTGACTCTCCACTTTCCATATGTTTCTGGCAAAACTTCTATTGAATGCTGATTTGATAAGATGTTCTCCCAGAGATTTTAGGTTCTCTTTCGGCGTTTCTTTGAGGAATTTTCTGGATGACTACAACATATAAGTCAAACTTTACAAGAAAATGAAATACAACGACATGATCGCAATCAATTTCAAGTTATATTAGTTATGGTCATAACCCGTAAAGTAGAATCATCTGATATATATCATTCATGAAATCTTAATTTAGTGACATGAAAAACTGTGAAAGTCCATAACCATGTTTTCATTTAGCTAATTATGTCCTTCTTTCGGAATGGATGGTAGTTAATAATCCATAATATATGGTCCAAATGCTAAACAGTCAAAGTTTACGACGTTATAAATTAGTTGATTATTTCATACGTGTTGGGGCGATTTCCGAGAACTACGACAGAGCCTCCAGGGGCCCTAAATAAACCGAAGAGTTTCTATTTAATCAGAACATGATGGAACTTTCTAAAATATCAACGTAGCATGTTACTATTAGACAGTATCATAACATGTTGTTATAACAAATGCTAATATGTATAAATACCCATGATTTTCTGTACATTTCGGTTCTTACCCAGCAAGCACTTGTCCAGTTTTCTTCTGTCTTTTGATTTACGACTATTGGGGTTCTATACGTTCCAGTGCCGTAGTTGTATACTGTATTCTGCGTAGCGAACCTAGCAACATCTAACCCTCAGCTTTACTTAAGATATTCTTAATGATTGATTCTGTTTCTAATGGATTCAATCAAATTTTAATAGAGTAACCGAAATGGATTTACACTGATGATATAAGAACCGATAATAATTATGATTGTTATCCCTCAGAGTCTTCTTATCTCACTGACCTATTCAATATTAGATGATCAAAGTCTGACTTGTGACTACAAAAAACCTGCATTTTTAAACAATCAATCGAATACCTCATAATGACTGACCTAGCAACAGAATAGATTGTCAAATTAAGTTTTTTCAACCATATATTAGCATGAATCAAAATGTGAAGTAGAAACTCTTTTCACAATTGATTGATCACTGGGTGATTGATCAATGTTATATGTGTCAATTCCTTCTTAGTGCAGATCGAATGCTATCCTATTGGTTACTTCCAACCACCATGTAGAAACGATTTTGCCTGATTGATCTTCATAATGGAAAACGTTAGTTTTTACTTTAGATACTTCCTATCATCTTTTAACTATGATCTTTAAACTCACTGAAATTGATTTTATTTTAACACATAGATATTGGTACAACGAGGCACCAAATACAAATGCGACACACAAATCTTATTTGATATATGTGAGGGTTGTGATGCTGCCCGGGTGCTCAAACCGAAGCAAGTGGTTTTCTTACGGGGTCACAACCAGAACCTTCGACCTGAAGGTCTGATCCACAAGGCAGTGGAGCATCGTAAGGAGAGACAGTCCCATGGTAGCCAGTGACAAAAGATTGGTTCATATGCCATTTGTTCCTTCAGGATACTGGAGACCATGTGCACCATTGGTTTGGAATGAGGGTTTTCCAACTCCTCTAGGTGGACTCCCCATGTCCACCAACCTGGTTAAGGCGCCGGACATTCGCAATGAGTAGGACTTCCCTGGCAGAGGCTATGTACGCGTGGCCATGTGAGAGCATTTCTCGAGGGAGAGTGGACTCTCCCCACTCTCGGCTGTACCAGGGTATTTGGGGGCCACTGAAATTGAACACTTGTTCTTATCTTAAACTAGATAGCTACTATATTTATGCTTTTCTTTTCATTTCCTTTTCATTTAAGGTACTTAGAGAAGCAGGACAATTTGCAGTGTCAATCGAAGCTCATGTTCAAACTTTAAATCGAATGTTAGTTTTATTCGGTTTGGAAGACCCACTGATTAGTTGAATTATTTATTTTTCTTCTACTTCTTCTTCTTCAAAATAGTCTATCCATTTGAATTCATTCTCATTTCGCGCTCTTTATCACATCAACATCAATCCATTCAAAATAGAATGTTGGATATTACCAATCATGTAATTTATTCTCATAGATCATCCTCACCATCACCATCACCACCACCATCATCATCATCATCATTATCATTATCATCAACGACATATTCAAAGGAAACCTTCTGTGTTACCGGTTTATATTTTCAATTAAACTTGGGATCTTTCATTTTTTGTTTGTTTCCAACACCCCACTTTCTTTATTCAATACATTGAATAAATTTAAAAGTATTTTTTATAACAGAATCTATTTTTTTAAGAACTATCCTCAGATATTACTTTATTGTTAATTCAGTGACAAATGTGGAAGGAGGCTGGGTGTGGTGGTGGACAATCAAATTGTATTTCAATACAACATAACAGAGCATCATTGTAAACTCTGAGAACTATACAATCAATACTTCATTGGTAAAAAAAATGTTAAACAATCATCGCAGATATTGTTGTTTCTACGTTTCTATACCAATCACTCACTGGTGTCATTCTCTTCTCTTTGATCTTGTCAACCTTCTATCTTCAGTCATCCTACTTTTGTTTGGTGATACATACTACTTATATCTGTCGAAATCAGTAGTACACACTGCAATTTTATTTAGTAATGTGTGAAATTTTTATTGTTCAGTGTGTACTTTTGTGATAATTTTCTTTTAAGATGTAATAGTAGTATATATATATGTGTGATATCAAAAGGGGTTTTGTGAATATTATAGTAGTTTTAATAGTTGAGATCATAAGTCAATTGAAGCAAAACACTACCATAGAAAACCTGAAAGCACTGGACGGCCATTTCATCCTACTGTGGTCCTGAGTTTAAGTCTTGCAAGGTGGGATCATGGATGAGCACTACTGTTGAGTCCTACAGTAGGACGAAATGGCTATTCAATGCTTTCAGGTTTTCCATGATGGTCTAGCTTCAAGTGACTCATGATCTCAACTATGTTTTTTTGACTTTTTTTTCAAACTGTTCTACTTGATTATTTTTTGATAAACAAAAAGACAATGTGATATACACATACTTCCTTTACATTCCATTGTATAAAGTGTTACTTAAATATACATATAAACTTTAGAATATTCTTAACACAATACAAAGATGTTTCTTCTGTAAGTTGGTGGTTCAAGTTAGTTGTCAGGATATTTTGGACCTAGATTTCATTCTATTCAACACTTGTTACCAAGGCAATCTTGAGGGAACTATACTTTTTATATAATATACCATAAAAATCCTTGATCACTGGGTGGTGATCAATGTCATGCGTTTCTAGTCCTTATTAGTGCAGATCGAATACTATCGACCATGGTGCAATGTGGCCACCAATCTAGGTGACTCGACACTGGGGGCACTATATATTGAGATTAGATGGTGGTTGGAGGTAGTCGACAGGAAACCCTGGACCCAGGTTTCGTGCTACTTGGCACTCGTCAGCAAGGTTTACCTGTAATCTTGAAGGAAATGGTACTCTCTAGCGGATTCGATCTCGTGTCACCCAGCTCTACAGTCAGAGATGTTACCACAGAGCTATCCGAGCCGCGACCGACCTCCTGTAAGACTGAGATGTAATCACAATTGATTTCTAAATTTTACTCAATAAATCGATAATCATTTTCTAAATTCTTATTAGCTTGTTCCTATATTATATTCATGCTATCTAACTCAATGTTACAGTAAGACTTTCAATTTACTTGCTTATTAGCGAGTTTTCCCAATGCATTATAATCCTAGATGTGTATTGGTTCATGAATTAATAGTATTTGAATTATTGTACAAAACTAGGAATTCCTGAAATAGTGCAATCTAAGTAGACAGAACTACGTGAGCACCAACCAAAGTATTGTATTTAGAATTTAAAATCAGGCAATCATCAAGTACAAAGGAATAGTTAGTTCATACAAACACCACATCCACCACAGCTTGAATGAGAATCTAAAGTTCTGCGATCAATCGTACCTCTTTTCTTTAGGTTCATCATGTGTCTGTCCGATTGTGTATCGGAGGTAGACTCTGTAGAATCTAGAATATACTCATCAGTATTAGAATTAACGACTGAAATCGAAACTGACTCACCTGCGTCCTGGAATTGTATACAATCACCATATTTATTGTGTATTGAAATCACTGATATCATCTTCGTGATCTGCCTCGCAACTCCTCAATGAATTATTTGCATAACCTTGAATACGCATTGAATTTGGATGACGCAGTAATGTACTGGAATTTTTAATGTCCTGATGAAAATTTCCACCTTTAAAGCAATCGAAATTTGTATAGTTTACATGGTCTAGTAGTAGTTTCTTCAGAGTTGCATAAAGAAGCAAAATAGGCTTTCCCGGAAATGCCAGAGCTTCTAATATACTGTATGCTTCTTTTCCGATGAATGTAATAAATGAGCCACGATATTAACATCCTCAATATCTTCCTCTAGTGATAATCCAGATTTCGAACCTTTCCATATAATCCTCAAAAGCATCAAGATTTGAATGTATGTCCAACTGTTCCATCACAGGCTCCATCGCAACGCCAATGTGATGATTAGAAGTATTTTGATTACTATACGAACTAGGAATCCCCAAAATAACGCAATTCAGATCAAAGAGAACTAGATAAGCACAAACGGACGTATTGTATTTAGAATTCGAAATCAGACAGTCATCAAATACAAAGGAATCATTAGTTCATACAGATAACACAGTTAATTATACAATTTTTTCTCCCTAAATGTACCATGTATATTATAATCAATCTTATTCACAGTTCAGTTATATAATATACCCTTGTAGGCTAGGGTAATTTTACATTGGTTTTCAGGAGAACCAGACACCATCCAGACTTTCACGTGACTTCCTGTTTAACAGAAGAGCCAGACACCACCCAGGCTTAACCTGAGCAGTACAGCTCAATCCAACTTTCAGGAGAGCCAGACGCTACCCAGGCTTAAAAATTTGTAACCCGAATAGTACAGTTCAATCCCGTTCTCAGGAGAACCAGGTACCATATAGGTTTTAATGCTACAATCTGAATAGCACAACTCAATCCTGTGACACAACAACACAAGTACCAGGCACCCTGGTGGACTAATTATCAGTCTTATTTTGCACAACTATTATGTAACATAAATTGTATTTATTAATGCAATCAAGTAAGAAGAAGAAGAAACAATCAAATCACATTCAGTTTGTACACATGGTCATTTTAATCACTTTTTGGTCAATATTCATTGACTCATGTGGATCCTTCTATAATGTGATTATAGTAAGAATCAATCCATTGACAATGTTAATAAGCGTGATATAAAACATGGTGAAAGTCATTGACAAAAATATATATATGACTATTAGTATAAATCAGTAGTTTGTAACACAACCGATTTCTATGGGAAAGCAAGTTGGGATTCACTTGTAGAATTGATGATACCTATCATTTGGCAAATCTGCATTACATTTATGCGTACTCGTTGATACACATATCTATGTGTATATATCTGTCCTTTAGAAAATTACCCTAACAATGACTGGCGTCTTATCCTTTAAAAATATGAGCCATTTTCTATCCAATGATGTACGCTTACTAATTGCCCATTTCTGATTGGTCCAATGTTTGAATAATTTTTTTTTCTGGTTAGCGTTTTTTTAGCGAGTTAGTTTTCTACGGGATGGGGACGCTAACCCCATGCCCAACCCTCCTCCTTTATCCGGGCTTGGGACCGGCAGTAGCCCCCGGAGGGACTCCAGGCGGAACAAGAAGGCAGCGATCAATACCAGCCGAACAAGAGCAGAAAAAGCCAAGGCACAAGCTGAATACACGGAAATAAACAAACAAGTGAAGAGGAGCATCAGAACCGACAAACGTAAATATGTGGAAGATTTAGCAACGACGGCGGAAAAGGCTGCAAGAGAAGGAAACATGAGACAATTGTATGACACGACAAAGAAACTCTCTGGAAATCGCCGTAAACCAGAACGACCAGTGAAAAGCAAGGAAGGCGAGGTAATCACCAACATTGAAGAGCAACAAAACAGGTGGGTAGAACACTTCAAAGAACTGTTGAATCGACCAGCTCCACTCAACCCACCCAACATCGAAGCAGCACCCACGGACCTCCCAATCAATGTTGGCCCACCAACAATTCAAGAAATCAGCATGGCCATCAGACAAATCAAGAGTGGCAAAGCAGCAGGACCGGACAACATCCCAGCAGAGGCACTAAAAGCAGACGTAGCGGCAACTGCACGGATACTCCACATTCTCTTCAATAAGGTTTGGGATGAGGAACAAGTACCAACAGACTGGAAAGAAGGACTACTGATCAAAATACTGAAGAAAGGCGATCTCAGCAAGTGCGATAACTACAGGGGCATCACTCTTCTCTCAATACCGGGCAAAGTCTTCAACAGGGTATTGTTAAACAGGATGAAGGACTGCGTAGATGCCCAACTTCGTGACCAACAGGCAGGATTCCGTAAGGATAGATCGTGTACAGACCAAATCGCAACTCTACGGATAATTGTGGAACAATCAATTGAATGGAATTCATCACTCTACATCAACTTCATTGACTACGAAAAGGCATTTGATAGCGTGGACAGAACAACACTATGGAAACTTCTTCGACACTACGGCGTGCCTCAGAAGATAGTCAATATCATACAGAACTCATATGATGGATTACACTGCAAAATCGTGCATGGAGGACAGTTGACAAAGTCGTTCGAAGTGAAGACCGGTGTTAGGCAAGGTTGCTTACTCTCACCCTTTCTCTTTCTCCTGGTGATCGACTGGATCATGAAAACGTCAACGTCCGAAGGAAAGCGCGGGATACAATGGACATCTAAGATGCAGTTGGATGATCTAGACTTCGCAGACGATCTGGCCCTTCTATCCCAAACGCAACAACAGATGCAGGAGAAGACAAACAGTGTGGCAGCAGCCTCAGCAGCAATAGGTCTCAATATACACAAACGGAAAAGCAGGATTCTCCGATACAACACAGAATGCACCAATTCAATCAAAATTGACGGAGAAGATTTGGAAGATGTAAAAGCCTTTACGTATTTGGGCAGCATCATTGATGAACAGGGTGGATCTGATGCAGATGTGAGGGCGCGGATCGGCAAAGCAAGAG